TCACTTCCCATTAGAACATCTCTCCAAGAAATCTTGCTGAAAAAGATACTTGACGTTTCATAGTAGTTCTACTTAAAAATCCTATTCTCTAGTCATTTCAAAGTCCTAAGTTACAAAACTAATAGAGATTTTCACATAAATAACAAAATGATGGCATTTTTCTCCTTCTTAGGACATAAATCATCCTAACTGGAAACTTGCCTGTAATTTATGTGTACTGACTACTGCTGTCACCTTTTATCTCTGAATACAAAATGGATACATATTTGTAAGGAAAAATCAGCCACCCAGAGTATCAAAAAGTAGAAGAATCAAACAATATTTGAAGTGTATGATACCCTATCCTGAAGCTAGTCATGCTATAGTGAAATTAGAATACATATACACAGCTTTTAGAAAGAATTAACACTCATTTATTTTTCTCTTACATTTTTTTCTCTAATATTTGAGAAAGATATTTTTATGTGGGAATTCTGGGTAAATTGTGCATTTGATTAGTTGGTGTCATTGTAAAGTTGCTACTGGCCCAAAATTTTGTCATTTCTCTGTGGAAGATGATCAGTCCTGTGAGTGATTTATTGTTTCTACCTATGTTTACAAATAAAGTACTGTTATACTTTGAATCCTCTGTAACAGTTCATGCACCTGCACCTGTATGCTAACTGTGACAAATATTCAATACAAAATCAGACAAAAAATTAATCCAAGGTGTGTATAATTGAATTTTCATTTAGTTATAAAAACATCTATGAAATAGAAAATGTTTTCCATTTTAGTTCTTGGGATCAGATTTTTTCATTAATTCTGTCAGCCAGAAGGAACAGCTGTTTAATGTTAAAACTGAATTCAAATAAGTATAAATATTAAACATATATATATTTCTTAACTAAACAACCTGCCATCAGTAAAGAGCTGTCTCAAAGTCAGATATTTACGTGTCTTGTATCCCCTTGATATCTCATTATCCAGAAAAACACGTTAAAATTTATATTTCTTAAAAAAAGTCAGAGCTAGCTTAGGCCTAGGAGAGGAAAGGGATCTGAGTCAAAGACTTTGGAAGCAAAGAAAACTATCCCATAAAGTCCTCGGAATAAAAGAAATTGTCATCTCTTACAGCCTATCATTATAGTCTTGATATAAATTAGCACCTGACTCAATACCCTTCTCCAGATTTATGGCATTGTTCAGGTCAGCTTCTCCTCCATATTATTTACTCTTGCACTTGCAAGTGCTTTGAGCTGTACAGACAAACAATAATTTGGTTTGGACAAGCCAATGTCATCAATCATACTTCAAAATCCATTGAAAAACAGTGTAAATTACAAAAATTATGGTTTAGAGTGTTTGCTCCCTGCAATTCATTCAAATGATCTGTCCTTTAGGAAACAGATAGCTAAGCTAAAAGATCATCGATTAGTCCAATTTAGGCACTAGTTTTCCGTTGAAATCTCCTTCACAGTTAAAGAAAATCCAGAGAAATGTCAAAGAGAGATGGAATGGATCATACTCTGGAGACGCTTATTACCCTCTGTTAGCAATGGAAGCTTGCAAGTGAATAAACTAAGGTGCCTAATTGTTAGGGAACTGAAGTGAGATGAGAAGAGTTGAACTCAAATTTAAACACTGTTCAGAAGAAATGTGTGTAAACTTTGTTTTTCTGATTTTATGGGAATGTTTGTCATTCATCTAGGTGTCACCATAAGGTGTGGTGCTCATCTAAAATATATTTTGAAATGCTATTTTTTAACACTTATTAATTTCAAACCTGTTCTACTTCATTTTTCCTGTCTTTAAGTGCATAGAGATGGAAATGAATATTTTGGGGAAAAAAAATAAGAAAAAGAATAGTGGCAAGATTTTTGGTGTTTATTGGTCTTACATACTACTTTTCTTGGTTCCTTCATTGATTCCTTAATTTCCTTCCCATTTTCGTCCAGTCTTCATTTATTCTTGCATTCAGAAGACTGAATAGACTTCATATTTACAAACCCCAAATTGTGTTATACTATACTCAAACAATTTTTCATGTTCCTAAAAAAAAAGACAAGGTCAGATTTCCATACATCACATTAAGAGAAAGATTTCTGAGATACCTGCACTCTGAATATTTATTTCCATTGTTTAAGATGAACTTAGTCCATAACCACACTATATTACAGAATGACACACAAGGGTGTTTTGTAGTATTCTAAGATGCTTGTATCATTTCCACTATAAAATAAGATCTATATGAGTGTAAGTTCTTTCCTGACAAGGCATGAACCTTGACTTCTAGGAGACGTTATCCACTATGCAACCAATCTGTATGTTTCAGCCCATTTAATCATCTCTGGACAGAAAGCTCTCAGGTTTTTCATCCTTTAAAAGAACCACTCAAAGCACATTTCCTTTTACTCTGTTAAGCTGATCACTAAATACTTATTTTGTAGATACAAGATAAATGAGTAATTACTGCCAGAGATATGCTTTCAGTAATTAGAAAATTTTATTTTATTTTTTTAACCAGTTTGTCAAAGCAGATTTGACGAAAAATGATACTGTGAAGAATATTTTAAGGGAAGCAACAGTAGACAGTTATAAATATGCAGTAAATGTATTTTCTTCTTCAGCATTGCTACATGTCTCTTATGAAGTGTCTTCACATCATAGAAATTATTTTTCCTTGTAAATTTAACATTTTCAAGGATATGTTTGCTCCTCTTGGCATAATACGAAATAATGACTTAAGGAAGAAATGGTCAAGAAAATACTATGCAAAACCCTCAGTTACTAGCAATTTAATTTAACTATTTTTGCAATATTTTCACTAAATACAAAGTTAACTGGTAAGTGCACAGAATTTGGCTTTGAAAATATTTAAATTTAATGGAGTTCCAGACGTTTGACATTGAAAAAAAGCAAATCAGTGTTTGTAAGTTACATATTTAATGCATATTTGATCAAACTGAAAGGTCAAAATAAACCATAGGAGATCTGAAAACACACAGATTGTACCTGAAATGTGAAATAGTTCTACAGTAAGTAAAAGCTATAACATTGATTATTACAATACTGTCCTGGGTTCAGCAGTAGCAGTCATTTTTTCTCCTTCTTAGTAGCTGGTGCAGTGCTGTGGTTTTGACTTTCAGCCTGGGAACAGCGCTGATAACACCGATGTTTTCAGTTGTTGCTCAGTAATGTTTACTCTGACCAAGGACTTTCTGAGTCTCATGCTCTGCCAGGGAGGAGGCGAAGCTAGCAGGAAGCAGAGACAGGACACCTGACCTAAACTAGCCAAAGGGGTATTCCATACCACAGCACGTCATGCCCAGGATGTAAACTGGGAGTTACCTGGAAAGTCTAAGGCACTGCTCAGGTCGGGCTGGGTATTGGTCATCAGGTGGTGAGCGGCTGTATTCTCTTCCCCTGTTATTTCCCTTATTATTATTATTGGTGGTAGCAGCAGTGGTTTGTGTTATACCTTAGTTACTGGGCTGTTCTTATCTCAACCCGTGGGAGTTACATTCTTCTGATTCTCCTCCCCATCCCTCTGGGAGTGGGGGTGGAAGGGGAGGGAGTGACCGAGGCCTGCGTGGCTGAAATTACAGGCTGGGCTTAAATTATGACAAATACCAAAATAATAGTCTTTACACCACTGAACCTGTTCATCTTATTTCAATGTTTTGATCTTGCTACTTCTTCCTTAAGTAAGAAAGAGGTGTAACACATTATAAGGATGTAAATGTCAACACAGTGCAATCAAGGATCAATCTGAAGAACTCACCTGTATTCAACAAAATCTAGAAATATTTTTAAAAGACTATAAAGCTTATTGAAAAATATTACACTTCAATTATATTTTCAGTAAAGGAAATGTTTCCTTTTCATGGAGTTAATATTTTATCCTAAAGCGCATTTTTATTTTTAAAAGTATTTAAACTCTAGCTATCCAGGGATTGATGTTTTTAACAAGTCATGCACAACACAATTACTCACCAACAGCCAACCAATACCCAGCTGAACCCAAGCAGCGATCTAGGCCTTCGGTAACTGTCCCCAGTTTATATACTGGGCATGACGTGCTGCAGTATGGAATACTCCTTTGGTCAGTTTGGGTCAGGTGTCCTGCCTCTGCTTCCTCCTTGCTTCCCCTCCTCCCTGGCAGAGCATGAGACTGAAAAGTCCTTGATTGGAGTAAACATTACTGAGCAACAACTAAAAACATCGGTGTTATCAGCGTAGTTCTCAGTCTAAAGTCAAAACCACAGCACTGCACCAGCTATTAGAAAAAAGAAAAATGACTGTTACAGCTGAACCTAGGACAAGCACTTCCTCTCCTGCTCCTTCCCTCACCTGAGAGGTCACAGGGCTATCCCTCACCAATTTTTCCTCACTACTAACTACCATGCAGAAAGATTTGCCATTTCACAGAGGTGCTGTTTCTTACTTATTTTCCGCCTTCCCCTCTTCTCTCTGTCATTTTTCCCCTTTCTTCAGGACACTTAAGTATGTTCCTGAAAGGCACCACCACACTGGCCAAGGGTCTCATCTGTGCCTTGCAGTGGCTCAGTTGGAGCCAGCTGGAACCAGCTGTGTCCACCACAGGACAGCCCTGGCCACTCCTCACACAGGCCACCTATGTAGTACCCCTGTTGCCAGTGCCTGGGCACCTGCACACAGTGCATAAACATGATGAAAATGCATACACTTAGGGAAATCTTAGAGTCTAAACCAAAATTCTTATGGGAGTAATAGAATCCAGAAAACAGGTTAGTTTTTAAAAGGGAGCCTGATCTGTGTTCCGTGTTTGGTGAAAGAGGTTGCACAACTCAGTATGCTCTGCAATAGCAGAGGGCTTTCTGAGGTTGCCCCTCTCCTTCCTTCCTTCCTGCTCCTGGGCCAGAACAGGGCTGCACTGCAGGTCTCATGGCTCTTGGTCTTTCCCATGCTGTGGTATGGTGATCAGGATTTAAAACTGTAGAAAAGGGGATAAAAAGGGCAAATAAAACCAGTGTGCTCATTTTGCAGGAGATAACAGAAACTGCCATTCTCAGGCAACTGCAGAAGCTTCTGGAAATAACTTTGACATTATTCCCAATCTTTGTTACCAAGGTTAGTCATCTCTTCTTTTCCTACATAGTCAAACACTTCTCCCAACTTTAATTTGCTCAGATATTTTTATGTTGCTTTTATTTTAGGGTTTCTTTTTTACAGGTAACTCTTTGAGTATGATCTTTTTTACTGTGCAGTCATCCAGAAAGGAGAAACATTACCATTAAGCAGATATTTCCAGAATATATATAACTTTAAAACATATGTTCAACATTTTATTTTTTTAATTATGCTGTGTTTGTTGCTATATAATTGTTTACTGCATGATTAAGATTCTGTAAATGGGTTGTGTCTTGTTAAAAACTGTTTCTTAGAATAATTATTGGTTAATTGTTACTTTCAAAAGAGGAAATAAACTTTTTTTTTATTAAGTCATAAAATAAAATTCTCTACTTCACTGTTTCTGCTCACTTCTTACTTATAAATTCATTATCAGTAGATGATGGGTAGCTGAGAGCCTTCAGAACAGCAAGATCTTTTCATCCAGGCCTTGGGTATGAACTGCCCACTGAATGGTAAACTTACTGTTTGATACGCCTTCTTGGGAAATAGTGTTTCCTAACAAAATCGTCTTCTATTTTTACTCTATTAACATTTCAACCCTCTTAACATCTTTCTATTTCTTTATTAAGCAGTTGTGGCTTAACTCCAGATGGCAACTAAGTACCGTGCAGTTGCTCACTCACTCCCTGCTGGCCCTGGTGGGATGAACGAGTTGAGATAAGAATAGCTTAATAATTGAAATAAAGTAAAATGATAATAACAACAACAATAAGAATAGGATATAGAGATGAAGAAAACAAACTCCCAAGTGATGCACAATACAATCACACCCACTGACCAATGCCCAGCCCATACCCAAGCAGTGATCAGCCCCTCCCAGACAATATCCTCCAGTTTATATACTAGGCATGACATACTGCTGCATGGAATATGCCTTTGGCTGGTTTAGTTGAGGTGTCCCTGTCTCTGCTCCCTCCCAGTTCCTTTTGCCCCTCTCATACAGAGCACAAGAGGCTGAAAAGTCCTTGATCAGGGTAAGTGCTACCAAGCAACAACTAAAACATCAGTGTGTTATCAGCATTGCTCTCAGACAGAAGCCAAAACACAGCACTGCAGCTACTAGAGAGAAAATTAATTCCACCCCAGCTAAAACCAGGACAGCAGTTAATGGTATTTTACTCCATATTGTATAAAATAAGCAGTGAATGTGAAAGGCATTTTAATATGAAATTTGAGATATCAAATTGATATAATTACAAAAAACATTAAAAAGATGTTTCTATCTTTAATGTTCTTTTTACAAAATCTATAGACCATTTCACTTCAGAAACAAGTAATGATTTAGAAAAGCTAAAGTTATCTTTTCAAATTCTTACTTCCTAAACATTATAAGAATTTTAACAAAGTATCATTGGATCATTATAGTTGTTCATATCAGTGTTACATTAGAATGAAGTTAGGAAGTTAGATTAACATTTTTCTGAGCAATACTTTTGTACAGGAAGTTCCTCCAGCAACGTAAAGCTGGCAGGGTAGCTTTGCAGTACTTCGTTTCGAAGACCATTAGTGAATAAGTAGGTCCCAGGAGGAAAAGGGTAGTATCTTCTTACTACATCCTCAGGAGCTATCAAATAAGTACCTTAAGTGTTAGGACATACATGCATAGTACAAATCAGGCTTTCAATTTCTTGAAATTATGCTTCATATCATCCTTCCCTAAGTGCTTAAGAATGATAAAATGTAAACAGCTAGAGCTCCACAAAATGAGCATCTTTCAGATGCAGCTAAAAATCTGGGACCAGATCCAAGAAGGAGCCATTGAAATCAGTGGGGGTTAGGTACTTAAATAACTGTGCTTTTTTTCTGAAGTCTGTAATATTTCACCCCTGATATTTTACTCTGTGGTGTTTCTCATGTTCCCTTTATATAACAGAATAAGTCTTGCCTTTATGGTAAATTTATAATTAGTGAACTTAGAAACATGTATTTTCATGAAGAAAAAAAAACCCAGCAGATTTTTTTCTTATCTCTCTGCTATTCTTTTCTTCTTACTTTTGTGTTCAAGAATTATAGGTCTTCCTTATGATCTTTACTACATATCAAACATACTCATGGAATACATAACCTGTTTCAGGTTTTGACAATTATGAGTAGTGTCATCATTCCCGAGAGTTAGAATGCTGACAATTCAACAGAGTTCTGCTTTGAATCTGCTTAATGCCTGTCACTGAAATCCTCATGCAGACACACAAGTAGCTGTGTTGCTTCAAGGTAAGACCAGATCTAATTAACTCTACACTGAAGTATAATATTCTCTCAGGAGAAGGGAAGTACAATTCAGGGAGGAAAAGACTAGATGTAAAAATCTTTTAGAACTTTGGGGGAGAAAGCATACAGGTAAATGATTCAATTTTCATAACTGCTAACTGAGCTTACCCATTATCTAAATAAGAAAAAATGGTTTGGATAGCATGCAGCACATCATGGAACAGCATAGGAACAGATTCCTTATGATCTTATGGAGGAATAAAACATAAAATATGGACTTCTAAAAAATTCAAGTTATTTTTTATATTGTGAAGAGATTGTATAAAATAGTTATAATTTAACAGACATTCATTATAATAGATTTAAGGCAAAATATTTAAATGTTAAACTGAGCTCTCTTTTTATCACCTTATCCTCTACCTTGCCCTGCTACACTGGTGATTATAACCACAGGAAAATTAAAATAAAATAGATTCACATGGGCTATCTAAATTATAAATTACTGATGGCTACTGCCATGGGACTGATTACTCGTTTTCATTTCTTCCTTAGATATTGTGTAGAGGAACAACACTGTTTCTTTGTTGCAATGTGAGTATGTCATAAAAGTGGCTATAAAATCCATAGTGAATTAGCAGTTGCTACCAAATATAAATTGATGTACAGTAGAGAACTTGATTTGTGTCTTGTGCTCATGCACTGCAGCTGCCAGTAATTTGGCTGTATTTTTTCAGGACATTTTTAACATTATAAAAAAATATATTTTGTTTGTAATACATATGTATTGTTTGTTTGTTTGAAGATAAATCACATTTCATTTTATGACTCATTCTCATTTGATTTTCTTGGAAAAATGAAGTTTGAGAACTGCTGGGTATTCTTGCACGTAAGGTTGATATATTGCAGCTAAACACTTCATCACACAATGCTACTTTATGTTTAACACAACAATCTTTGAAGTCATCTGAGAACAAAATTTGTGTTCAAAGGAAGTTTAAATGAACTAAAAACCACTGCTGTTAGATGGCAACTGATAGTCTACAATAATCAGCTTTCAAAGGTTATATCTCTAGGGATAACAGAATGGGTTAGTCTAAAACCTGTTGACACAGGTAGGTGAAGTTACTCAGTTCATTGAATGTGAATGTCCACTGAAATCTATGAGCCACCAAAATATGAATTTATGGATGATATTAAAAAAAAAGAAAAAAAGAAAAAAGAGCACAACTACTTTTAAAATTGGCCAAAATACTACTTCTACTCTTGGCCTTGTAAAGACATTTCAACAGCAGAAACTTTCTTCATACATTTCTTTTAACTTCTAAACATTCTTATTATATTTTTTTCTAAGATCTTTAATTACAGATAATCTCATTTTACTATAAAAATGATGAATAAAAGCTGAAAAGTGGAACATATTTGAGAAAACTGTTTTGGGGCACTCATTGTGTTTTTAGTGTGTATCTGAAAGGGGATGGTTGATACCTAAATGGAATTGGAACTTTGAACTGTAGAATTAAGGAAGACAATTCTAAGGATTCTTTAATGTAGAAGTATACGATACATTCCATGAAATACAAAATATGCTACAAGTACTTTAGAATAAAATGGTTAGTAAACTATCTCGGATAAAAATATTGTTGACAATTTTGGTCTTGTAGAAAACAGGTGTATAATGTTTCTTTGATATTATAATATCAGCAACAATCTTTGAACATTGCATATAAGCAGAAATAGTTTTGCTTTATCTAAAGCAAGTGAAGAATACCTGAGTGAAGATCTTGCAGATCATTTCTACTGTGCCTTGAGAGATCACCTTCAGAGTTATTTTTAATAGCTTTTATGTCATAATGAAATAAGTCAGCCTCTTTTTGCCATGACTCCTTTCCATCCCTCCCTTTTTTGCAGAAGGGGCAGCACCTGAGGACACCCAGAAGCTTTTATTGGCCATGATGAGGGCCATATGTTAAGCTATACAAATCCTTTCCATTTTTTAGCATTTGGTTCCTTGGCATATACCCAATGAAGCAGTGTAGCAGCAGCTTTGGAGTTGCCTGCAGAGCTGTCCTACCATTTCTCTGTGATGTAGCTGTGTGCACTGTTTTCTTGTTTCCCTGAAAATGAGCTTGTTTTGTTTTACTTGATCCTCATGAAAGTGTAAAGGGAAAGGTCTGCAGTGACATTATTTTGATGGTGTTTCTAGTGTTTTCTTAATGGCTCAAATAAAATGAGAATACCTTTTTTATTTGGTGTAAACTCATGAATGAAGAGAGGAGAGGTGAGGAGATTGGCTACATTATTTAATTTCAAAATTTTTATTGTTTATAAAGAGATTTTGGACATAATTTTCATTTTCAATAAGTGTTGAAGTAATAGGCATTACTACTAGTGACTACAGTAAATTAATGGAAACAGGATGTAGTTAGGGAAAAGGATCTGTGGAGAATGAGCAAAGATATTTTTAACATGAACAAATCGTACTAAAGCAAGCTTTGGCTTATGTCAGTGTTTGGTTTCACATTTCATCTCCTGAAGTCAATATACTGTATTTTTATCAAGATCATATGGGAAGATCTAGTAATAATCACATCAGAAAGATTATCTATTCTTCTTCAGATGGTATCAGCATGTACTACAGAATTTTGCTTTAAGCACACATTTTTGCTCATACTAAACATTCGCGAATCACTCTTAAAAAAATAAAAGGTGCTTGATCTACACGAATCAATCTTCATTTTGCAGACAATCAAGGAGAAAGAAATGAGAGCAAGTTCCTGTTATATAGTCCTTCAAGAATGATTAAAATAAGAAAAAAAGTCATTGTTACCCAAAATTGATCTTGAATCTCTCCTAAAGTTCAGAAAATTATGGGAGATATTTTACTTCAGCCTTAACACTAAATAATTATAAAGAGTGTGAGTTCAGGAGTAATATTTATTCCTTTGCTTACATCTTCTTTCTTGTCCCAGGTAAAAGGTAAAATGCCATTATATAAAAAAGATATATGATTTCTCTAGCATTTTGGGAAGACCAGTAATTAAAAAATGTGAGGAATTTTGTCAGTAAATATTTTAACTTTTTTTTTAGGTAATGCATACTTATCATGAAAGCATGTGCCTACAAGCACTTGTTGCATACTTTGTTTTTACGGCCAGCACATGTAGCAAACACATTGTCAGTAGGCAAATGCAGTGTGGCCATAGGTTTGCAACAAATCAAGCCCTAGTCTGTCCTTCTGTGCTTTGCTAGTCAGTGACACAGGGCTACATAATAAAAACAAGGAAAAACAATATTCACCTCAGTTGTCTGACCAGAAATAAGAGTCAATCAGAACAAGGCTGCACATCACATGTTCTTCTGTCTGTATTTTTCTTCTGTACAGGCTCTTCCTTTAAAGAGAGCTATCAAACACACGATGTCTTCAGTATGAAAAATGCAGAACAGCTACTGGACTGTTAATAAGGTATTCAAATTGCAGTGTGAAACAAGTCTGTCTTCAGCAAATGTAGAGCAATCAGATGGGAAAATGGTGGTTACTGTTCTTAAGACTGTCCTCAATGGAATCATAGAATAGTTAGGGTCGGAAGGGACCTTAAGATCATCTAGTTCCTACCCCCCTTCCCCTCCCCCCCCATGGACAGGGACACCTCACACTAAACCATGCCACCCAAGGCTCTGTCCAGCCTGGCCTTGAACTCCGCCAGGGATGGAGCATTCACAACTTCCTTGGGCAACCCATTCCAGTGCCTCACCACCCTAACAGTAAACAATTTATTCCTTATACCCAATCAAAACTGTTTTGAGCTGAATTTTTGACACACTTGCAGACAATATAATGACTTTAGTTTATATGGCAACTACTGGATACTCAGTATAGATACACTTTTTGGTGTATCTCCCACTTTCAACAATCAAACTTAGAAAATTTAAATTGTCTTAGATAAGTATAATATCATCACCACAGTATCTCAAATATTTCTGGTTTAGACATGGGGACTTCAATTTTTCTTTTACAAAGCTTTTACAAAGACTGTTAAATGTTCCAGCCTGGAAATGCCACATATGTATAGAAGAACAGTTTAATTGGTGCATGTATGAAGAATTTGTATGGGGATGCTGTATATTTTTCTCTCCTTACTCAGTCAGTATTTACCTGAAGTACTGCCTTTGGTGAGCGACAGTGTACTGCTTTGTTTACAAAGAACCCTCAAATGTTCCTCATTCTTGATACAGTGGAGAACGAATTTACGTACTAAATGGTAAATTGGTTTATAATGCCTTTTTTTTTTTTTTTTTGCATAAGATTACTCCTTGAATTAGCTGAGATTTCTAAAAAAAAAAAAAAGTAAAAATTTTATTCTCAATTAAGAATAAGTTTAATGGTAAAATATAAAAACATATTGGAAAAAAAAATAGGAAAAACATCCCAAGATAGCAGTCAGTGTAAACTTTTCATTTTAATTAGTGAGTCCAATGGATTCACTAGGTTGTGTTTCACTTAGAGTCTTGTTTGATTGCTAGTACAATTTATGTTTAAAAGTGAAAGGTGATTTTGAAATGAAAAATGAAATTTTAAATAACGTTCATTCTGTAAAAGAAATGGATTGAAATGGGGGAGGTTGGTTTTTGTTTATTTGGGTTTTTTTTAAGAAAGTTGCAGCTCTGAAAAATTCCTTCAAAATAGTTTTGGTGATTTCCTTAAGCAACCTTGTTAAGTTACATTTCAGAGTACGACAATACTAGAAAAGTGGTATTATGTAACTATCTGAGACGTCATGGTCTAGAAACTATATTTCCAAAGAGGAAGGATTGTCGGCATAATTACTTCATTAAAAAACAAGTACCATTATAAATTCAACCTGAGCTGTGCTGAGCATACATTTGTAAGTCTAGGTTGTGATAAAAAAAAAAAGGTTTAACTGTCAGTGGAGAGTTTTCTCCACTTCAGAGAGGATGCCTACAACACACGTGCATATGAAAAAACCCA